CGGCGGTGCCAGCTGGGTAAGCCTGCACCATGGGGGCGGGGTAGGCATGGGCTACAGTATTCATGCCGGTATGGTCATTGTTGCCGATGGTACCGATGCTGCTGCGGCTAGGCTCAGCCGGGTATTGCGCAATGATCCGGGCATGGGCGTAATAAGGCATGCTGACGCCGGCTATCAACTGGCACAGGATACCTTAGAGGCGAACGATCTTGATTTGATGGCAAAACTTAAAAGATAATTACCGGCGGAAGTCCCGCCTTTTAGCGGGGCTGACGCCGGCTATCAACTGGCACAGGATACTTTAGAGGCGAATGATCTTGATTTGATGGCAAAACTTAAAAGATAATCACCGGCGGAAGTCCCGCCTTTTAGCGGGGCGATACCTGCTGACAACTTACAATAGATAAAATGATATTTTTAACACAGTTGATTTATCTCAGCGAAGGACAGGAAAAGGTATTTGACCAGTTTGAAGAAATAGCCATTCCGGCAATAGTAAAATACAATGGACAGCTACTGTTGCGGGTAAGGCCCACCGAAAATACTTTTATTGAATACCATATTGACAAACCTTATGAAATTCATCTCGCAGCATTTGCTACGGAACAGGATTTTGAGGCTTTTCAGCAGGACGAAGAACGAAAGAAATTTTTGTACCTGAAAGAGCAATCAATAAAATCTGTTCTTCTTATAAAAGGCACAAAACTATAGAAATGAAAAAGCATAATTACCGCAGCATCTTTCCACTATTGCTTTTGTATTTGCTGGTGGTGGGTGATTCCTTTGGCCAGGGAAACGTGTACGAGATTTTTGCCCTTGAATTTGCGGGCAACTGGACGGTGCCTGCGAGTGAAATTGCTGTAGGGGGCAAGCCGACTGACAGTGTAAAGGGCAGTTTTGTGATATGGCTGCTGAAAGGAAACAATGGACGGCTTGTACTGGTAGATGCCGGTTTTACGGATACAGCACAGTATCCTGCCCATAACTATACCAGGCCCGATTTGGTGCTGCAGAAAATTAAAGTAAAACCGGAAGAGATTACCGATTTAATTGTAACACATCCGCATTTTGACCATTTGGGCGGCATTGACCTGTTTCCCAATGCCATGCTCTGGATGCAGGAACGCGATTTTAATTATTTTGTGGGGCCCGCCTGGCAAAAGAACGGGGTGTCTGATGGGCTGAACAGGAAAGATGTTTTTAAACTGATACAGAAAAGCGTAGATGGGCATTTAACACTTGTGAAGGGAGACAATATTGAGATTATTCCGGGTATAAAAGTTTTTATTGGGTCAAAGCATACCTATGAATCGCAGTATGTACTGGCCAACGGCACATCCGGCAAGACCATCATTGCGTCTGATAATATCTGGCATTATTATAACCTGGAACATTTACTGCCTATCCCGAAATACACTTTTGATGCCAAAGCCTATGTAAAAGCCATGGTAAGGATGAAAACATTGGTGGCTGATACTGCATTGATTATTCCCGGCCATGATGCGCTGATGTTTTCAAAATTTGCAAGCGTTGCTGACCGGGTGGTGAGGATAGCGCTCAATAGCAGGTAATAAAGGCTCTTGTAAAAAGCATACACAACTTACCCAATGACAGCATACCTTTTTTTTTCATGTTGAAAACATCCTGGGTTAATAATAATATAGGAGCGTAGAGACGGGCTGCCTTGTCTCTACAGGTATCAACAGCCCATGGGGGGTGTTAAAGAAAAGGTTCTTACTGGATCACCAGGCTACATAGGAACGCCCTGTACAGCACAGGAAGCTCCTATGGAGCTAATTGGTATCAGCAATATTGAGCTATAAACAGGATGCTCCTGACGGAGCCAGCGATTTTTCGAATTTGCTTTCACGCTATAGGCTGGTTCAAATAAGAAAAGTAGTGGGAGAAAAATGAATCAGCTGCAAACCAGCATGACCTGAAAATAAAAAAACCGGCCGGGGCCAGTAGCTAAAAAAAAGAAAGCAATAAAAAGAAAAGCGCGGCAGCGGCAACTTATACTACCATTTTAGTGATAATCTCAGTATACACTGTCTGGCCTTTTGAACCGGTGCTGCCTATCTTAAAACAATAGGTGTTACCCGGTACCAGCCCTGTAATGGTGTAATTGGGCTGAGAACTGAGCACATGGAACCAGGCATCGTTGCTCATAGGCGAAGGACCATAGAGGAACAAATACCCTTTTGCATTGCGTACCGGGTTAACGGACATCAATGCTTCACCGGCATTGTTACCGGGCTTTACGGAAAAATTTTCCGGGGCGCCCAGGATTTTGAGGACTTTGTTTTCCGGTCTCAACGTAAAGCCGGAGCTGGCCAGCATAGCACGATCTCCTTTGGCAATAAAGCTGCAGTAGTTGGAAAGCTGGGTGAGCAATTGCTCCAGGTTCTCCCTGAGCTGATTTGTAATAACTAACATTTGATCCGACAAACAAGGATTTTAGTTTTATAGGGTTGGGATATATTTAGGCTGCTGTATGGAGTCCCTGCAGCATCTTTTGCTTCACTAAAGGTAAGGATTCAACAAAGGTTTGCATTGGTGTCTTTCCATAACAATACCTGCCGCTGTGCGGTCGGTCTTGGTTGTAGTATTGCATCCACTCATCAAGATCCTTTTGTAATTGGTCAATACTGTCGTACAGTTTTTTACGGAAGGTGATGGCGTA